CAGATTGTTGTCGAAGGCTGCACAACTGGCAAAAATTGAGGGTGATGTAGCATCACTAATTGGGAGACATGAATGAAGATTAGAAGGTAATAATGGGGGAGGCGGATAGCAGTCTGATCGAGTTGTGAGGGCGGTTGACACTTCCCGAGTGCCCACACCGTGGAAGGTTATTTCTTCTTAAGGTACTTGAAAGAGATTTGTGTGACCGCAGAGCCCATCGGACATCTGCTTGTGGCCTGCCACACGAGGCCTCTTGAGTATGATTGTTTTGGACTCTTGTGTTTTTTGGGCCCGATGGTCGAAAGGAAAGGACGAATGAACCGACACCGCTGGGTCGCAGACCGTGGGGCATGGTGGAGTGTGCTATTTTTGAGACTGACCTTTTCTAACCCCCTACCACTGAGAAGACGACATCAGCATGCACTACTGGTCATCCAAGGGAAATACCTTACTGCTGTCACACCCCATCCAGTTAGCAGCAGTACGACTACGCCCTCAGACCCCCATCTTAGTGTGGTAATTTACACTACAACGGTAACCACTTTTCTTCTTACCATAGACCCTTCTGATATGGTAGGACCTCGAGCATAGCTTGCTTGGTCATTGTGATATGCCAGCCGGACCACCACGTCAAGGTGGCACCTGTCGGTCACTGAGCAGGATGAATAGAATTCGATGATACAGTCAAAGTTGATGATCGGACCGGAATAGGTCCGTAAATACTTAAATGAGGTCTAGAAACTTTGCTCGTAACTATGCATTTCGTCAATATGGGTGTAAAACTTGGGCACTATGGTAGAATGTAATTCCATATTATATATATATATGCCTTTCGACGGAAATTTTGTTAAGACTGGGCAGGCAACTCTCACTGGTGTTTCCCATCATGACGAAAATTGACAGACGAAGATTTGTCAGGTTATTATGAAGTCTAAGTCCGGAAACACAGATCAGTAGGCCGTCAAAAGCATGCACACAGAATTGCAGCTATACAGGCGGAAATGATAAAAACTATTCAGCAGGGAGAACTGTATAATCTAGAGGTAGACCTTGGGTTTTAGGCCACACTACCTTACGGCAGTAGCTACAGAACGGGTGTGAAGTCTGACAGGAGGAATGTAATCCCGTAAAGCTATCTACGAATGCCGAAGATAAGTTCAAATTAAAGATAATACTGATAAATGCTTATTTCCGAAACAGAATCAAGGCGATTATGCTGTGGTCGCTGCCTGGGAATGGTAGACTAACATGTCCACTAAAGGGAATAATATCTTCACTGAGTGATGGGTCGAGGGATATTATTGTACGAAGTAGGTTTTAGGACATCCCGTACCCAGCTGCGGAATTTGGTTGCATCCAGAAAGCCCTAGTATCGAGTTGGGGCACAAATAAGGCCCCAACCAATTACAGGTACAATAAAGTATCACCCAATAGTCTTGTACGTAAAGTTTGCTGCGGAAGTATAACGAAGGGTTCCAGTTATTCTATTTAGCAGTTCGCTGTTGTGGTCTGGAGGATGACAGATGAAACCTAGTGGGAGAGTTGTATCTGGAAAGCCTTGGTGATACGTATGAGGTATCGTTTATGCCGAGAATCGGGTGCGGCTTGATAAATATGATACATCTTCCACCATGACCAACAGATCCACTTCCTCTGAAACGTGAATGCCTTTCACAGTAACAGAAGCCAGCTTAAATGTGTACGAAGCCTCAATATCTAGCAGTGAGGAGATCTGGCCTGTCAGTGAGAAGGATTTTGCTCTCTTAGAAATGGGCGTTAATGAGAAATACGCTAAGATTCATCGGTAACCCGGAGTAATCGGCCGTGAAATATAGTCTGATTATCCTCATGTGATGCGGGGATCCCATTAGCAAGGGAATGAAGGTTGAACAAAATTTGAAGCGGCGGGAGTTGGGAAGTCAAGTGAATAAGGGTGGGTGACCTCATCTACTTGAGGAACAGCAGTGAAAGCTGTGCTAGGACAAGTTGTAGCCATTTCGATCCACCGTAAAGTGTTCGCATGGAACTTTGAGTAGCGTCTGAGTCATGTTTAGTTTCCCCATCATTTTGGCAGCCGGTAGGTTCGTAGAGCAGTAAGTTGTCGGAGGACTTGAGGTTATGCTGTGAGCTTAATGTCGTCGCAGAAAGGCCACTAATCACTGTGTCCAACTGATAGCAGGCTGCCGGAGGAGCTATAATGACTTGAAGCATCGCATTTATGAGCGCGACTGCTTGGTGGTTCGCCGAGTGGTTTAGGGCCAATAGGTCTACTTCTCAGTTCCGTCGGTCTAGGCTCCTTGGTATTACTGAGGATCTTACTTCCAAATAAATGGTAATTATCTTTTCGATTCTTGGATGATTTGGTTCCCCAGAGATTCGCTCCAGGTTTCGTATTGAAAGAAGAGTGCTTGAATGGATTGGACATCGTGGGTTCACGTGCATGTTAGCTTGTGGTGTGTGATGATTTCAGAGAATATCCATCATTTACATTTTTAGGTTTATTGAGTGTAATGAACTCGTCAACCTTATGAGTGCCATTCATGATGCACTGAAGCCGGTTGAAGGGGCTTGTGAATTACCGAAGGAATCTGAGCTAACCGTGGGTTTGCTATCCTGAATGAAGCAATCGAATGCATCAGGATCATTCCTCATCGTGCTGCCTATCACCGATTGTGGGTGCGAGGCACTCATTGTGGGCGCACTGATACTTCTTGTGGTGATGTTTTTACGTAGGGGAGTTGTATGGATTGTTTTGCAGTCATTGGGATCTGTAGTTGTAGACGGCGACATGAAGGTTTTCCGCCGTATTACCTCTTTGTCACGGGTTATGCTAATCAGGCGGTGTCGTTTGCTTTTAAGCAGTGAATGTCCACCACACAGCGTATCTGAATCAAGTAACGGTGCGAATTTAATAGTGACTGGATGAGACTTATTCTTTGAAGATTTTCCGAGCCTACGACAAATGCGTGTTCTTCCATTCATTGGGATGGCGTTCCGATGCTTGTTTTTCACCTTCTTAAGTTTAGCAGTGTCAGGAATATTGTGGACAATGATGTCTCTTTCACGTAAAATAATTCGGCGCGCTTCCTTCCCACGTAATCGATCAGGTTTGAGATTTATGGCAGTTATGAAGACGGGGCATTAAAGACATCTATGTGTCGGTCATTTAGGATTTGTCCTGGTGCGAACTTGACAGACGAAAAGGCCAACCACTAATTATCCGAACTTTTTATATACCCACGAATACTAGACCAAGGAAGAACACGATAGCGTAGTCGGATAAAATAGTATATTTGGGTAGTTGTACCGAGATACCGATGCGTTCCAACCAACTGGCTAGAGAGTCGAACACGATCGGTGCAACGTAACACGAAAGCATGCCAAATGGCGGGGATGCTTGACCGGATGCCTTCAGCTTGGCGAGTCCAGTCAAACTATCAAGGTCAGCATCAATGCCGAATGTCGTCGAACCCTAGGCTATTGAATTTAGGGAAGTGTGTGACGCTGCAGTCACATGACATTTCGGAAAACTAATCTTGGGAATTCCTAATAGGGTTAAACATTTCGCTTATTTTTCGAAGGTTGTCAGTTTCGGAGCTTGGCTTTTTGTTTGGAGTACCGGTAGTCAGTAGCAGGCCATATGGTTTAGTCTGCATGCCGACTATCGCAATGAGTTAGTCTCGGTATTCCCCTTACTAGCTGCACTTTTATCAAAGATCTCTTCAATGACATTAGTCACTAACCAAGTGGTTGTAGAGCACGTTGTGGTGGAGTTTGAAGAACTGGCGGAGATTTGAAAATACTTTGCGTGGGTTTGGAAACCCCAATGACAACCACTAACCTAGATGTTTCGATAGAGCCTGAAATGCTAAGGTACGCCTACTGAGTTTATCTTCATGGTAAAATTATTTGACAGAGAAATACGAAGCTGTTTTCGTGTCCGAAATCGACAATCTCTATCTTTAGGTTGTCAGGGCATGTCCACAAATACTGAAAGCGGTGATTAAACAAGTGGGAATGACAGGCTACTTCAAAGCAGACAACTACCTAGCCGAGATTTAATTCAGTTTTCATACCTAAAAAAATTATTGACGATGGCTAGGTAAAAGGCTTCAGTTCACGGTGCGGAAGTAACGTCAGAAAAACAGCTATGAATGCAAAATATAAGTCTTAAATAGCCAAACATAAATGTTTCGCAAAAGAGGTTTCATTTTGCCACTGAGAAGACTTATTTAAGTGTGAAAGCGGTCACTCTGTAATAGATCTACCATGGGGAAGCAGGAATCAGTGTCCTCTTTGCGATAAAAAGGTAGCACTTGGATGACTTCTTACCCCGGGCAACGTTTATGGCGTACTTATAGCATTGGATGGGGTATTGAGGTGTAATAAAATTTAAACAATTGACCATCTCACCAAACAGCACAATTACCGACCAAGTTTACACATAGTTGACTGGTATCATCTTGGTGTATTCACTGGTGGTGATTAGAAAGGAAATGTGCACATACATTCTCCGAAAATATATCATCCAGTGATTCAACATGAAGAACGTACTGGGTTAAAGTTCTGCAGCTCTGGATTTCGCTTCTAGCCGCTCAGTAAACCAGAATACATGCTGGCTGTTTCATGGTGAAAAATAGAGGACATGAAGTTGCTTTCCTACAGAATTAGTACCAGCTCCATCAACTCATTCCTTCAAGTCTCTATCACGTGTCCAAATGAGAATGAGCAGGACTTAGAGGACTCTTCGTGTATGCTTCTTAGGAGTAGGCATTGGTGAATGTCTCCTCTTTAGGTTGGCATCACTATTACTTTGTTCTGGATAAATCTGAGAGGCAAAATGACGCAAAACCCATATTTTAGGCACAACTCTATGCACAAAGAAGAGGAATTCGCAGAATATTGCATTACTTCTTTATAACCAAGTCTTGAATACATTTGTTTTTCCGCTTTGTATTTAGGCGGTACTTTTGTAGTTTTACTCCCGAACTTACAAAGTTATGAAGTTTCAGTACAAAGAAGAGCGTCCATTTGAGAAGCGCCTGGAGGAAGGACAAAACATTCGTAGAAAATATCCAGGTAGTGTTCCTGTAAGTTATTGGTTATCTGCAGATTTAGTTTGACTGATTAACTTTTGGTGGGCTAAGAAGTTTGTTTCATACATGGAATAATGCAATTTTTGGCATGTAACATAAAAACTGAAGTAATTAGCATGTAGATACGGCCGTCACATTGATCAAATTTACAACTAAGAGACATGTTCTGCCTGGGCCTAGAAATCAGATTCTGAGAGCTAGTATTTGATTCTTTATGTTCACTTATCGGGAAGTGTTTAAAGTTTATTATCTAAAGGATGCATTTAATCCACTAACAGTAAAATATTGAGGTCTAAAGGGTTACAGTCTAGATTTGGCTTTGGGAGTTAAGATTATCAATTCACTGCCGGATTCTCCGACTTTAAACAACAATAAGTGCTTCGAAAATCCTACAGATTTGATAGAATGCGCATAATTCATGTGAAATAGGAACTACTTCTTGCCATATACTTATATACACTTGCCAGATACTGATTCCGAGTGTGATGGACAACTCAGTCACTCAGTGATTCACTCAAACTTGGCGTGGTCTTATCGATCCTACCAGGAAATTGTTTTACAACTTCTTCAGGATCTAAACCACTGATGAGTGTAGTGGCTTAAACGAGTACCCATACATTCCAGCAGTTATAGGTATTGCTGAATCGTCGTTTCGCCTTGAAAGTCCAACTTCAATGACAGAAACCAGTCAAAAACAGCATGTATACAGCTTCCTGATTAAGACTTGCTAGATTTTGATAACAGTGAGATTTGCCAGTGTGTCAGGCAGTAACAGGCCACTTGTTTGGCGGTATACGAAGAAGTTCCCAAAATCAAAACGGTTATATAATAACAAACCTTCCTGCACTGAGAACGACCTCAACCGAGATCAGGTTGAAAGTTCATTTGACTGCAGTGTTACTTGTCGGTTCTGTTTGATGTTGAAGTAACCGATTGATTGGGAAGAAGTCTTCAGCTCGGTTTAAAATGTTGGACCTATGCTTTCGGTTGTCAGCTACCAGTGTAGTTGTCAAACTACTAGAAAAATCATCCTTAACTTTGTTTCGCAGCATGTTAAGTGGAGTAGGTTTTTGGCTGAACCAAGCATCATCATCATCATTATCAACATAGGACCAGGCATTACTGCGTAACGGTCTGAGTTGCCTCACCTCACGTCAGTTCATCAAGTAGAAAGGTAGTGAGGTGAAAGATGAAGATAAGTGAATTCAGTCAAAACAAATATAAAGTACGAGAAGGAAAGAGGAGTGACAAAATGGTGAGATTCGGTATGGCGTTGTTAAGATGAGGATAATGTGTGTATACATCTGCGCCACTGAAATCGGTTCTGAGCCATATCACCTAGGGTCTCCAACCACTGGTGGAACCAAGCATTCTTATTTGACTATCATTTATACAACAGTAGACAGTGGTGGTAGTTAGTAGTAACGTCCTTGGTGTCCTAATTGCTTGCACACAGGTAATCCATTCTTTTATTTTTCCCAGCTCTTTCTAAGTAATGTTTTATTTCGTGATTATAGCAGGAAAACTATTCAAGAGTGGTAGAGTTTCGAGCAGAAAGAACAAGGAGAAAAGAGAAAAAGGAAATTCGGCATGATGATTAAAATAAAAATAATGTGTTGATACATCTGCTGCACTAAGATGGACCACCCACAATCTCTAACCACCGACTTCAGTTATCATATGAGTTCAAGCGAGAACTTCTCATTTCCGTACACGGTTCGAACCAACAGTTAGAGACTATATGGACCGATGCCATGTTTCATTGTGTTCTTTAACCTTTTTAACCTTTTAACGTTGCGTGACAGCAGATGGTGAAGCATGAGAAACAGGTTCCAGCTGCTTTAGTCGATTATAGTTTTCGACGTCAAAATGCACTCAGTAATCACATGTGCGTTCATTCATTTGGCAGTGGGTCACATTGTTTGAAGACTAGGAATTCTATTTGATCGCCAAAATCACGCCTGTTGGAGTGGACCTCAAACACTTTACCCACCGCTTGTAGGTCAAGCTCCGAAACCAATAAACCATGCCTCACCCAAGTGTCCATGAGACACACATGTCAGATGACTTAGATCTTGCCTAAAACTACATCTGACTTCTGTACTGCTGAACTCTTAGTTTCGCAACATGACCCATATGAGAGAGGTAAAGGTGACTGAACTTCGAAGGTTGATTATTGTTTTCTGCATTTAATAGCCATTTTTCACGGACAGCATAACAAAGTAAACTGACGAACAAAAACTCGACCCTTAATAGACGGTTGGATGCTATGTCGGCCCCGTAAATGCAGTTAGTGTAAGCCAAGAGATTATTTTGTGTGCGTACAGAGATTTCATCGGATTGCAACCCACCGTGGTTGATCCGGCGTCCCATGCAAGAGTAGTTAGGGCGTTCAACTACTTCACCCTTTATTATTGATCTGTGGCTCATTGGTTTAGGTAGTTGACTTTCAACTGGTGGGTCGTGAGTTCGAACGCCGCTCCACCTCTCCATGTGTGGGCAACCAGATATTATCATTAGGTCTCACTCAATAAGTGGGGCTCACTGCCTACAGCATGAATGTACATGTTGCTATTTTCGGCTCTAACCCCCGCCCATTGTTAGGGGACACACCAGTATAGATCAATCCTGAATCAGCAATTTGCATTTGGGTAGTGCGAAACGTCTCAAATTGTCACTCAGTGTGCTCAGAAGACTGCATTTTGTTAGCACCATCTGACTATGCCATCTACATACCCTATTTTTTACTAAAAAGTCCCTTGTGGCAAAGTCAATCCCAATAAAGTCAAATGAGAAGAGAAAGACCTCCTTAAACATCCTTAATGGACACTACTCGACGTATGGAAGTCACCTGATACCACCATAGGGTCTGACATACCCGTAGTGTTCAAATGCTGCTCCTTCATTAAAGTGGTGTACTTCCCCTGCATCCGTTTCTGTGAGGCTCCCATGGAACCTCTCGGTTGTTGTGGTCGGGTGATAGTATTACACTCCACGCTGTCTGACTATCAGAGGTTCCCGAAGTTACTTACAAGAGTAATGTTTTGTTCATTTATCTTTTTGCGCATGAAACTGGTAAGCTTACCTAGTTACTAGAACTGACAAGAAAATCGTAAAAATGGTATCCACCAGCAAACAAATTATGTAATTATGATACCTCATTTACTGTAACTTTTTATGTATTGTATCTAAATAGCCTATTCCGACTAACTTTAGGTAATTGTCGAAAAATCACCCCGTGCACGTGTTGGTAATCTGGATAAAAACAAATATTTGGTTCCATCGGATTTAACTGTCGGACAGTTTTATTTCCTTATTCGTAAGAGAATTCAGCTAAACCCAGAAGAAGCACTTTTTTTCTTCGTTGAAGACATTATTCCTCCAACCAGTGCTACAATGGGTGCCCTCTATGAGGTAATACCAACCAATGTTTTTAAATTATCTAGGAAGCCAAGTTCTGAGTTATTTTAAAGTTGTAATTCGTATAGGGTTGCATACGTGCATTTAGTCTCTTGCAAACCATAGGTCTAGATTTAGTTTTAAAAGCCACCTGAATATTATTTACTGCCTTGAGAGTTGTTTCGTATACGTACATTTGCCATGAAGCACATAATTCGAAGATTTTATGAAGTTATTCAGACTGCGTTTGACTCTGTGAGACTAGATCGTGGAGGTGAACTATCTACCAGGCGCTTAAAATGATAATCTCCGCTTTCCTCGCATACTTTCATCTGTTGCTCACTTTTTTGTTCTGTTGTGAAGTGTTGCTTTTAATTGATGTACTTCTGTTCCAAGTGTGACGTTGTTTTACTTGTGTTGTCGACATATTCCACCACCACTCCGTATCATATGGAGAGTACTTGCAGCAGACTAGTCTTGGAGCATCGTCTTACATTTTACAAGTGCGAAATACATGCTAAGCATACTTAGATTTTCGCCCAACGCTGGACGATACCGTCTGCATGCTTCAAGTCAACTAGATAATATCCGCGGATTAGGTCAATCTCTGGGAAGTCAGCGGCACAAAGGGTTGTCCATTAATACGTATGTGACGAGGTTAAGTGGAAACGGTAACGGTAGGCATCCATGGTGAACATGTGGATGGCTGTTGGCTGGTATTCGGTCGAGGAGTAAACTATCGACCCTTTGAATTAATGCTATAGATGCACTAGCAATTCCACTAGGTTTTCGGACACTCGTAAGGTGAATTTTAAAAATTCACCTCACCTGACTATTGAGGTGAATTTAATGACCACCCTTGGCCTCTGTATATGTGTCTCAGAGACAGCATACACTCATGGCTTGAGATCATAGAGTTCTAGCAAGCGATACCTATTGTCCGGTTTGACATTGAGTTCGAACGTTGAACGGCCCAATACTGTGTGATGGAATGTAATCCGGATACAGTTATAATTGGATTCTCTTCTCAAGTGTAAGCGCACTGCAGGTAATAATTCCAGTTGGTTTGGTATCATGATATGAGTCATCCAGGTGGTTGTTGACGACTATTTACTTGCAGTTCAGATGTCGGGGATGGTCTTTTTCAACCACGTATACTTCCAAGACGTTCTCAGTCTCTGTCAACTTCTGACATCACCGTTGCGCTATTTGGTATTGTCTCTGAGTCATCAAGCCTGGACCCAAATAAATCAGACTGAAACTAATTGTTGATGTAGTAATGTTTACCGAAGATCCTTTTCTCCCGGCATTCGTTTTTAAATCATACTGTAGTATATGCAACGTTCATATTGCGTTTTGGTGGTTAGTAGTCATGGTCATGAACAGTTTGCATGATCATATTGGTTGTACGTAGTATTGCTATTGAATATTAATTTGAACTAGGTTCAAAGTTAGCTACTAATCTTTCTGTAAGTATACATGCGTTTTGGTTGCATCTAAAAAGGGCCATCAAAGTAACACTCAAAACCTTATATGGAGACGTGCCTCATTGATTTCCAAGTGATATGTCCTAAGTTCAGACCCTGTTCTACTCACTTCAGCCGGGTAGTATCGTAGACCGTCACAATAAATATGGCTTATCGTCTATCACCTAGTGTATTTCACTCAATAAACAAACTAAAATAGAAGTACAATCTATCTCAGTGCTCAAGTTTTATTCTCATATCAAGGCTTACAGTCTGGTGCAAAATCACACGTACGAGGTTGAGACTCATTATGGTTTATTGTTAAAGCCAGAAAGAACGTGTCACTAAAGGATCGCTTATTTCAGCAGGCTTTTTGTAGCCTTTTGTCATATGTTGGTTTATTTCGATGAATAGTGAGTATACTGTTTTTTTGTATGTCCCTTATGCTGAGGATTGCAGGATGACTACACAAGAGCAACTGATTAGATGCAAAAAAGCATCTGGGACTGACAGAAGTCGCAAGCTGCTTCAACTCATCCAAGCCACTGGTAGCAAGAAGATTGATGTCAGAGAGCCAGGTATATGCAGTAGTTGATACTTCTGCTGAAAACGTTTAAAGTTGCCCAAAACCTTGGATGACCTAGTTTTCTGACAGTGTCACTTTTATTATCTAACACCATGATGGATTTATGCTTACGTAAATTCAATGGCAAACCCATGTTGATACTGTCTAATACTCTTTTTAATGAAAAGTGCGAGATTGCAGTCCGGAAACTAACTTTGGTTCAAGGTATGACGAACTGAAAGCGTTCCATGACTGAAATTTAGACCTTTGTTGATCCCATTTTCATAAAATGTTTATGTAATGTACGTGATTACTATTAGGGTCCTCGAGAGTTTCGAAACGGTTTAGCATAAATAAAGGTATATTTTACTGGTGCAAATTTATTCACTCCATCTTCCTCTGTAGCCTCGCCCAGCTAACTAGTTCACAAGTTACTAGCCAGTCCTAAGTCCGGATAAGAAGGAAAGGTTGGGCATACGGCTAGCAACCCTACCCCGAAAGACCAATCTAACCGCTTAAGAAACTTCAAAGCACAAAGAAAATATAAGACATAAAATTAAACTTATTCCTCTCAGGAATCGGAAAGGCGAAATGACGCCATTTTGTGAAAGCCAAGTTCTGGAAGCCAGTTGGCCGATATGTCGTCTCTCGATGAAAGCGAAGGTAAGAATGGGAACATGGAATATCCGAACGATGTTTCAAGCTGGTTGGCAAGGCTGCCCAGATTGCAAAAGAGATGAGGAGATATAGCATGGAAGTGCGAGGAAGCTGCAGATGGAATGGAAATGGACTCTCCAAACTGTCAACTGGATAGTCAATAATCTACTCCGATATTGTCATCCAGACGACAACCGTGAGCACAGCACACTGAGCATCGGAGTGGCTATCATGATGTCCCCAACAGCATCGAAGGGTCATATGCAGTGGGAACCAATCACCTCTTGAAGGATCCGAATCATAACAGCAAGTATCAACTCAAAAGAAAGGAAAGTCACAATCATACAATGCAACGCTACGTGCCTACAAATAATGCAGATGAAGAGAAGAAGGAGGAATTCTACAGACAACTGGAATCATTATTGGACAAGACTCCAGTTGTCGATGGCGATATCAAAATTCTAATGGTTGGGGTGACATGAATGCCAAATAGAGTGGACAACACAGGAAGAGAGCTGATCATGGGTCAATAAGCACTCTGTGAAATGATGAAAGAGAATAGAGAACTGTTTGCAAACTTCTGCACATTCAACGATTTGGTGATTGGAGGCGAGGCAGTGTGTACAAGCACAAGGATATCCACAAAGGAAGCGACATGGATTTGATTTCACCAGACACCAGGACACACTACACTAAAAATCAGATCGACTTCATCTCAATGTGAAGAAAGTGGAGATGCAGCCTACTGGACACAAGATCAGATGAAGCAAGGGAGCAGATGTAGGTTCACACCACTCACTACCTAGTGGAAGGAACCTACCTTCAACATCAAATTGAAATCCTTCAAAGAAGCTGGAAATCATAGACCACAGTTGAAGTTGAACACCGAGAACAGAAAGTGAACTGAAGAACGAAACTACAAAGGACATCTCCACGTCTGTCAATCATCAGGACAAAATGTGAGACAATGAGCAGCATCCCTGAAGGGACCTGCGTCGAAGAACACTGTAACTCTTTTAAAGAGATGTGGAAGGAAACCTGAATAACCGTTTTACGAAGGAAGGAAGAAGGAGAAGCAAGACAAGGAATGGATCTCGACGGACACATGGAAGCTGAAAGAGTAAGGGGAGGAAGATAGTGAAGCAGAAGATAAACCAGTGCAATGCAATGCAATGCAATGCAATGCAGTGCAGTGCAGTGCAAGGATGAACAACGAATGAGGAACTGAACACAATCTATAAAACACTACACTGGACAAAGAAGTGAAGAAGAGTGCGCGCAAAGACAAAAGACACTTCTACGACACATTGGTAAGTGAAGCAAAACAGGCTGTTAGAAGGAAAGACAGAGAGAGATCCGACAACACTGTATCAAATAACCAGGTTACTATCTGGGAGGGGAGAAATCAAAACAGATAAAACAAGTGAAAGATAGTGAAGTGAAGCTAGTTAGCAAAGAGGAGAAATAAAGGAAACAATGGGCTGACCACTTCAAAATACTCTTGAAACGACCGTCATCACCACCTGCAAGTGGTTCAGAAATACCACCAGTAGTTCAGCCACAGAACTACCAATGAACACAAGCCCTCCTGCAAAAGCAGAAGTCGTGAACGCCACAAAGTTGCTGAAATCCGAAAAGCAGCAGGACTACATTGAATTCGTCCAGAAGCACTGAAAACAGACGCAGAGACAACAGCGGACACGCTCACACCACTATTGCAGAAGGTTTGCAAGGAAGGAAGGAAGAAAGACAACCTGGTCAAACTTCCAAAGAAGTGCGACCTAAGTCTGTGGAAGAACTGGCGGGGAATCATGCTCCTGTCCATCCGAAGCAAGCAAAATGTTAAGCTGCATCATCCTGGAGAGACTAAAAGATGTTCTGGATTCAAAATTACGACGGAAATAGGCTGTCTGCCTGTCTTCATGAAGTAGAAATAATGTGCGGAGCAAATTGCAGTGCTACGCTGTGCATCATCATAGAACAGAGTATAGAATGGCAGTCAACTCAACTGTACCTCAAATTTATCGATTTTGAAAAGGCTTCCAACGGCATCGATCGAGAAGTAATTTGGAAACTGCTTCAACACTATGAAGTGCCACAAATCTTTATCAACCTCACTCAACAGCTATGTGACGACGACAAATGCCGAGTGATTTACAATGGAAAGCTCAGTGATGCCTTTGAAGCGAAGTGACGACAGGAGTAAGACAAGGCTGCCGCCTACTATCACTGATGATCTATCTGATTGTGGTCCCCTGGATCATGCAGCAAACCGTGAGGAGCAAGAAAATGGGCATACGCTACTTGACCAACGAAAAGACCCTAGAAGATTTGGACTTCGTCGATGGTGATTTGTGTCTAATGTCTTGTCGCACAAACTCGAAGATCTACAGGCGAAAACCAACAGGCTGACAGGAGAGATGAGGCAGCGAAGAGAGATGGGATTTCCTTCAGGTGAACGTAGAGAAGACAGACGTGATGAAGATACCCAACCAACAACAGCATCAACAACAACAAGCACCAATCACCATCAACGGAAGAAATCTAAAGGAAGTAGTCTCTTTCACCCACCTACCTAGACAGCATCGTTCACACTACGAGCGGCACAGACACAGGCACAGGCACAGATGAAGACGTGAAAGCCAGGATCGGAAAAACAGCAAGGCAGGCCTTCCTGCATTAATCTGAAACCAGTGTGGAGATCTACTGCACTACACTACACTACACTCCACTCAGCATAAAGCGTGAACAACATCTGCATTGTTAACACTAATGTCAGTTAAGTAAGTCAGTGCTTCTATGTGATGATTGAGAGACTTGGTGCCTCACGAAAAGCAAAGCATTTGCAACAAACTACAGACGTACATCGCATCAACAGCTGTCATCTACACTCACTCGATACTGAAGATCAGATGAGATGTGGAGAATAACAAGAATGAGAATAAGCAAGAAGGAACTGTGGCTGGCTGGGTGGCTGGCTGGCTGGTTGGCTGTCAACGAACCAACCGACAACCCATCACCCAACAAATATGCAACAGAAGAAATTGGAGATGGATTGTATTTGATTGTATTGGGCATCTACTGAGGAGATTATTTGGGGTCATCACGCGTCAGGTGAGTGCCTCGAGTGTAATACAAAGGGGAAAGGACGAGTTGTGCGTCGGAGCGGTGGGTGACATGGAGGAGATGGTGTGAGGAAGAAATGAAAGGTTTTGGGGCAGTCGTGGAGATAGGTTAAGAAAGAAGAGTGAAGAGAAGAGAGTGAAGTGGCGACATGCTACTGAAGCCCTATGTTCTACTAGGAACCCAAGGGATAAATACCGTATCTGTTATTTTGCTCCACTTTTATGTTCTATTCTGTGCTATAATGTCGTATGACGTTTATTGATGTCTTTTTACTATGAGAATTGTGTCAGTTTTGTCTTGCACCTTTTTGTTTATTGTTGTTAGATGGACGGAAAGATGGCTTGTCGAACCATAGTGATACACAGAGTGCGAATATAAAAGAATTGTATTGAAGTAAAAATGTGTAGGAGCCAGGCAGTTGACTTTCAACCATTGGGTTACGGGTTCGAGTCCTGTCCCATCTACCAAGGTTTGAGTAGCTAGTTAGTATTTTTAACTTTCGTAGCATAGGTGTTACTCATTACCTGCTGGACAAGCATACACGTGGTTGGTGGGTCCATTGAACCTTTTTTAAAATGTTATTTTCCGAATTCTAAAGATGAAAATACGTGAAGCTTATCATCGAGTTCCTTATGATTATTCTGTATCATCTTTAGGATCTCAGCTAGACAGTCTGTACATGTGCACGGCTCATGCACACAGTTAAAAGACTTCATGGATATGTGTAATTTTTTTAGTTGGCTACCCTTAGCTTTTTTGCAATCTAACCCTAATTAGGCTAACTTCACACACTGAGATCAGCAATGCTTCAGTATGTGTAACACATCTATTCACACTTACTGTATATTTGCATGATATCTATCAATAGAGTTTTGCCTACTAATAACATTTTGCCGATCGTCAGTAGTACTATTTTGTAGTCCCTTGGATTAGTTATGAAAACAGGTCTTCCTGAATCTACCTGTCTAATTTTCTCATCTAAGTGGTTCGACAACTCCTTGTAATGTTTATTCTGTCATCACGTAACCACATAATTACCATAACTTGCTGAAAGCATAAGTGTCATTTTTGATTGGCAAGCGTTTTCATCTTCACTGAATAGTATAGAGGATTTGGTAAGTTGTCATTTTTTTTTATCACGGCAGTTACACATACTTTAAAGTAGTATTGTATGATGCGTTGTTAGTCTTAAACTTGTAAGAAATTTATATTTGCGTCTGTTATTTTAATCACATCCTTGATGTTTTCAAATGTTTGCAGGAGCATCATGATCGTGATCTCTTCCTATACATTGCATATAGTGATGAGAGTATATATGGAGCAGGGGAAGAAGAAAGCCTATGCTCATGAAAAAAAGCAGCTGGTTACTGTATCTGGTCATTGTTTGTAACACTTTTCAGACACACTTTCGTTATCCTTTCAGTACTCCTCTGCCATAATATATATATATATATATATATATATATATATATATATATATATATTCAGTCATATATTTTGATTTTCCAGTCATGTTTGGTTGTTGTACCATGCTTCCTTGTTTTAGGAATTGACATGATACCAATGGTAATGACATGTGCTTCAATATTTTTATCTTATCACCTGTTAATTAAGAACTACGAATAATATGTAGTTTTCATTATTTGAAGATTAATTATTGTCAAGACTGTTTACCGTCATCATTGTCATCATCATTTCAGTAAATTTGCCAAAAAATATATCTTATGAAACACACAACCTAGTTCTTGTTATGGTTTGTTTGATATGTGTCGACAAAATTTTGATTTATGTCTCTGCTGTTGGCGAAATATGCGACTATCCGTCCACGGAGAGGTGTAGTGATCAGCAATTCTTTCTTGTTTTACGGTTGCGATACTACAACTGTTGAGTGTTGAATGGCTACAAATGTTTGACCACGTATTTCTTGCTCGTACTTGGTGGTCATGCAGAGATTAGGCTTAAAGTAGTAAACAAGAAAGGCTAGTTATTTTACGAAATCGTAGAACGTCATCTGCCTAAGTGACTTGGGTATATGTTACACGCGTCTGGCCACCACCTACCTCGATGTGCAATGCTGAAATAAGATCACTTTGGTAGAAGTTAAAGGTGACCTGAACATAGTATTGCACCAGTTGGTGAAGTTTTCAACTACTGATCTAAGGTATTGAAGTGAGTTTATGGAATGAGACTTGAATTATATCTCACAGCATAGTGCGATGAGAAATAATGATAACCGTCAAATAAGCAGCCATACAAAGACGAATGAAAGGTGAGTGTGGATAAAGATAAGTGGTGGCACAAATTTTAACTTTCAGAGCAAGATAAGGTGCGGATACATATGTGTGACTGCAGTTAGTATAAGATTAGAATTTACGCACTGTGGTAGAATACAATTCCATTCTAGTTGACCTATTAGATATATCATACAGTGAAACAGTATTATCTACTGGATTACGTTTTGGATACAACTAATTGTCCATAGTCATATCAAGATAACTCCGCAACTTTGAGAAATATCTTTTATATAGTCCTAATTTTTTGACTTTCTTTGTGCTGTAGGTAGTAGGATCTTCCATACATATGAAACAGGTGCTGAGTCGTGCCTGTTGCATGTATTAAGTGTTGATTCAATAAACAAAGATTCTGTTACCAATCTCTCTTTCCACCTCACTAAGTTTGAAGGATTGTCACTGTTCCATCCTGTTTCGTGGTTGTTTGTACTTTCATGGATTACCTAGCTTTTTTATTACAGTAACTGTGGTTAGCTCTGTACCACAGTGCATGATCTTCACCCGTCGGTATTGACTCCCTGACACATACCAAAAGTCAGTTTTTCGCTTCATGGCTCATACAAGCAGCTAGACACTTTATGTATTCCTACTGTGCCTTAGGCTGCTCATCGTTACTCTTTAAAACTTGATCCTGCTCCGGGTTATGAAGCTGCTGATGGAAATTTGATCTGCTAAAAGTATTTCCCAACTACCTTACGCGATGGAGGTTAATCATCTTTTCTTTTACGCAGTACTTCTTCCTTAGCTTTTGCGTTGCGCATCCTACTAAATGCGAGTTCTACGAAGAAAATGAGGGTCAGATATCTGGTGTCGCCACAGAATCTTTGTATTTAATCGCCACGCTTCTTATCTATACGCCAGAAAGGAGCATCTGATAGCTTGTTAGTAGCACAGGTCAATAAAAGTCAATGGAGATTTCTTCAACCTGTCAAACGTGTTAAGGCCCAGATAATTATAATAATCAACACACTCAAGTACTTTTGTCCTAATTTTTAGTTCGAAATAAACTTGTCTCTATTCACTGATTCGCCTAAAGTGTATACTTACCCTAATTAGTAAGGACCGTTTATCCAACCATCTCGTTTTATATTTACTTATTACTTTTCCAAAAAACTGCTACCCGACTATCATGTAGAAGATCATTCACATCTGTTTTAGGAAATATAAGAGTGAACCTTTGACGCTGTAGCAGAGTATATTCCCATATTAGGTTGTGTATATGATATAGTACACAGTGATACAGTATTAGTCACTGGATGATGTTTTGAGCAGAATTTATTGCTCATGTTCATATCAAAGTAATCATATGACTTCCAAACTCCTTTTACACAGTCCAACGGTTCTTCATTACTTTATCTTAAAGGTGGTAAGAATTTGTGATGAGTCATTCCTGTTACGTGTTAGGTGTTAATTCAATGAACCAAGACTGAGATAAATCTTTCCCTTCACCTACCTATTTGAGATCTTAGAATTGTCACCCTATCCCACTTTATAGTGTCATTACGGGTCATTGCATGCAGAGCGATAGCATAGTTTTCTTTTCTAAATTACTTATCTTAGTAGTTTCGCCAGGCTTTTGTGTTCTGCTATTCTGACTGATCTCGAAAGGTTTCTTTGACTTATATATTTGACCTCACAATTGTCATAGGGTATCTGGTAGATTAGGTTATTTTTCTAAGTTAGCTCTACTGGGTGTTTTAGCCTACAAAGTTTCTCTCTGAGCGAGTTTGTGGATTTTAATGCCCCTCTAATTGCACCATTGTTAAGAATTCTACGTAAAATTTCCGATGTACCCTCTTTGTGTGGCAACACTACAGAGGATTTGATTTCCCTCTTAGGCACTTTGGAATCACCACTAACATTACCACTCCTCTTGTCAGTTCTTATAAACTTTTTAGCGAATTCTGGAGGGTAGTTGGTAAGATGCAGCGTTTTATTTTCTTATTTAGGTTTTCTGACTTACTAGTCGAACTCCTAGTTGGATTACTTAGACATTTGATCAAGCCTACCTTGACTGATGGATATGGGATATAACGTGAAATCCAAGTATCTATTCGAATGTGTTGGTTTTCTATAAACTCTGGTATCTAAGCTTCCATCTTCTCTCCTTTTGATTTTCCACTCTAACATAGGTAATTCTCCTTTTTCTGATTCTTAAGTGAATTAGATTGCATTACTTTAGGAAAGTTTATGGCATCATTCGTCCCCCCTTATCAAATCAGGAAAAGTGACTGATAACAGTGGTTGTTGGTTGCGAACCAACTGCCTAGATGCGTAATCTACACCACTACATTGTTGTTATTATCAGCGTTGTCTTTGAGAATTCGTTCATTCGTCTTTGTCGCTGTGATTCCTGTCCATACAGTGATATAAACAGAGTAAATTGTGTGTTATTTTGGTTTATATGGTGTCTTACTCATTTCTTTTTCTGCATGAATAGGTTTTTCAAAGTAGTTTTGCATTAGAAAGTGTGGAGTTACTATTGCTCATGCTACTCAACGCCGTTATCAATGATAAATAATGCTTTGAACTGATTGGGTAAATCAGATGATAGAGTTATGATTATACTACAGTGACTACTCACTTTAATAGGTTTTTAGCTGTTACTTAGCAGTTGGATGCTTAGATTACTGAACTTCAGACCTACTTTTTGCATGCTGTTCTAAGGAGCATACTTCATAAAGGAGTATCCTTATAAAACTTATCGGTAACGGTAATCGACTGATGTCTTCAGATGGTTTATAACACTAGTAACTTTCGAAAAAAACTGGTTTGTTTACCTTACATTTAGTTGCTTGAGAAATATTAGGTACTTTGCTATTGTCTTATTTTTCGGTTTTTAGTTAAAAACCCTGTTTGTAAGTTGTTCAGATATAGACATCCATTATCAATATTTATTTTCCTGAGCAGTGTAGACTGGTGCCACTCACCTCCGTAATCAGATTTTATAGCCTAGATATCTGGGTTTCAGCTTAATGAAGGTATTATTTGTACTCGAGGATAACCGACTTCATGTCTAGTCCTGGGTGCTGACTGAATCCTATCGATCATTTTGCAATCTGGTTACCAGGCTAGGAAGGTCACCATGGCAATTCACCTTTTTGATAGATGCTAGTTAGATGGAGGCAGTCGACAAGAAGTCCTTCTAGACCTAGGTTTCTTGCCTTCTGGCACTCGTCAGCAAGGCGTATCTGCAGCCTTTACGAGATTAATGTTCCCGCCTGGGATTCGAACTCGCACTACCCAGTGTCTCAGTCACTGACGATACCACAGAGCTATTCGAGCCCAGACTGACCTCCTGTAGGACTGGGTTAGGGACATTAAGTTGCCACTCGAGGGTAACGAACATTGAGTTCTATTAACAAAAATTCAGATGAGTTTAAGCTTCATGTGGCAGGCATTATTTATCTAACGTGTGCGAAGATGCACGGAAGTCGCATATATTAGCCTTCTAAGGCTACTATTATTTGTCCCTTGGGTTCCTAGTAGAACATGGGGCTTCAGTAGCATGTCGCCACTTCACTCACTTCTCTTCACTCTTCTTTCTTAACCTATCTCCACGACTGCCCCAAAACCTTTCATTTCTTCCTCACACCATCTCCTCCATGTCACCCACCGCTCGGACACCCAACTCGTCCTTTCCCCTTTGCATTACACTCGAGGCATTGACCTGACGTGTGATGACCCCAAATAATCTCCTCAGTGTATGCCCAATTCAATCAAATCCAATCCATCTCCACTTTCTTCTGTTGCATATTTGTTGGGTGATAGGTTCTTGGTTGGTTCGTTAACAGCCAACCAGCCAGCCACAGTTCCTTCTTGCTTATTCTCATTCTTGTTATTCTCCACATCTCATCTGATCTTCAGTATCGAGTGAGTGTAGATGACAGCTGTTGATGCGATGTACGTCTGTAGTTTGTTGCAAATGCTTTGCTTTTCGTGAGGCACCAAGTCTCTCAATCATCACATAGAAGCACTGACTTACTTAACTGACATTAGTGTTAACAATGCAGATGTTGTTCACGCTTTATGCTGAGTGGAGTGTAGTGTAGTGTAGTG